CACTCAGAGGGCTGAAGCATCATGATGCCAGCTAACCCAGTAGTACAACCAAGTCCCCAGCACTCTAGCCCATGTGATGTTCTACACCCCTGAGAATAGGCAGTGCAGTACTCTAGTGAAGCTGCCCCTAGGACAAAGGGAGCTGAAGCATACACTCCCCAAAGCCTAAGAGGCACATGCTCAGGGCTGCTATCATTGAAAACAACCCTATCCCCTCCATGTGGTGAGGCCACTGCGAACCTGCATGCACCTTCAGGAGGCCTGAGGACAAGTCTTCCCCACCCTCCACTGCCAGCACCTGCACACTGCCCCTGCTATGATACTCACCCATGCATGCCACCTGGGGCACCAGGGATTGGCCCACCCAGCCTGCAACCACCACTGTTGGTACCTATACATGCACTTTGAGGCCCAGGGGTTGGCCCACCACCACTGCTGCTACTGCCAATGCCATGTACATCACCCAGGGGCCCAAGGACCTGCTCAAATACCTGGCACATCACTGCCACTGAAGGCACCTAAGTAAGCCTCTTGGAGGCCCAAAGACCTCCTGCCCAGGGGCCTGAGGACCAATATGCCCAGCCTAATGCCACCACCACTGTGCCTGAGGAGAGGCCCCCTTGTCATCCTTGTCCCCAGCAAAGCCTTGCCATAGCCTCTGCTAACAATTGCCTAAGCCACTGAGGAGTTCAGTAATCATATGAAGACAACACTCCTGTGCCCACCCAGAATCAAAGCCATGGCACCCTTCCCAACTAACACTATAAATACATCTATAGGAAAACATCTTTCCATATCAGAGCCAAACCATAAAGAGAAGAGGGAGAGGGAGAGGGAGAGGGAGAGGGAGAGGGTGAGGGAGAGGAGGCAACTATTACATCAGATGCACAGATATCAACATAAGGACACAAGAAACATGAAAAGGCAAGGAAACATGACACTTCCAAAGGAATACAATAATTCTCCAGTAATAGGTCCCAATGAAAAGAAAATCTATGAAATACCTGAAAAAGAATTTGAAATAATGATATTAGAGAAACTCAGTGAGATACAAAAGAACACAGACGAACAGTACAGAGAGATCAAGAAAACAATTCATGATCTGAATGAGAAATTCAACAAAGAGATAGATGTCATAAAAAAAACCCCAGAAATTGGAACAGAAGAATTCAATGAATGAAATAAAAAATACAATCATGAACTCCAATAAGAAACTCGATTGAGCAAAAGAATTTCTGAACTTGCAGACAGGTCTTTTGAAATAACACAGTCAGACAAACAAAAAGAAAAAACAAAAATAATAAAGAATTAAAAAGAATGAAAAAAGCCTATGTGACATATGACACACCATTACGTAAACAAAATTCACATTTGGGGAGTTACAGGAGAAGAGATTGGAAAAGGCACAGAAAAACTATTTAATGAAATATATAGGCTATTTCTTCCAATGTTTTGATATAGGAATGTTGAAAATTTCCCAAATAGATTTAGCCCTAAAATGTCCTATCCAAAGCACATTCCAGTCAAATTGTCAAAAGTCAAAGACACAGACAGAATCCTAAAAAGAGCAAGAGAAAAGCTTCAAGTCAATTGTAAGGGAATCCCCATGAGACCAACAGATTTCTCCAGCAGAAACCTTACAGGCCATGAGAGAATGGGATGTCATATTCAAAGTACTGAAAGAAAAAACCTGCTAACTAAGAATACTCTATACAGCAAAGATAGCCTTAAAAAATGAATTAAGGAGAAATAAAGTCTTTTCCAAATAAGCAAAAACTGAGGGTATTCATCACCACCAGACCAGCCCTATAAGAAGTGCATAAGGGAGCCCTCCACCTGTAAGCAAAACGATGCTATATACCATCAGGAAAACACACAAAGCATAAAAACTTACTTGTAGAGCATATACATAAATGAGAAAGAGAAAGGAGTTACCACATGTTACCACTACAGAAAACCATCAAACCACAATGATAAGGAATAAGAGGAAAAAAGGAACAAAGGATACACGAAATGATCAGAAAACAAACGAATGATAGAAATAAATGTTCACCTATTGATAATAACCTTGAATGTAAACAGATTCCATAATGAAATAAAACTAGAAATCAATCGAAAAGGAACATTAGAAACTGTACAAACACATGGAAATTAAACATCATGCTCCTGAATGACCATTAAGTCAATGAAAAAATTTTTAAAGAAATAAAAAAATTCCTTGAAACAAATGACAATGGAAACACAACATACCAAAACCTAGGCAATACAGCAAAGGAGAAGTAAGAGGGAGGTTTGTGGCAATAAACACCTTCATCCCAAAAAGTAGAAAGATTTCAAATAAACAACCTAGTAATGCACTTCAAGAAACTAGAAAAGCAAGAACAAACCACATCCAAAATTAGTAGAAGGAAAGAAATAATAAAGATCAGAGCAGAACTAAACAAAATAGAGACTAAAAAAATGCAAAGAATTAATGAAATACAAATTGGTTTTTTAAAACATTAGGATTGATAAACCTTTAGCTAGAATAACAGAGAAAAAAAGAGAAACTACCCAACAAATAAAACCATAAATGAAAAAGAAGACATTACAACTGATACCACTGAAATACAAAGGATAATTAGACACAATTAAGAACAACTGTATGCTAATAAATAGGAAAACCTAGAGGTAATAGACAAATTCCTTGACACATACAACCTACCAAGATTGAAGCTGGAAGAAGTGGAAACCCTGAACAAACCAATAACAAATAATGAGGTTGAAGCAGTAACAAAAAGTCTGCCAACAAAAGCTAAGGACTGGATGGCTGCTTTCTATTAAACTTTTAAAAGGAACTAATACCAATTTTTCTAAAACTATTCCAAAAAATTGAAGGCAAAGGAATTCTTTCTAATTCATTCTACAAAGCCAGACAAAGCCAGTCTACAATTACCAGACAAAAACACATACTCAGAAGAAGAAAACCATGGGACAATATCCCTTATAAACATATATGCAAAAATCCTCAAAATACTAGCAAATTGAATCCAATAGCACATCAAAGAGGTAGTATACCATGATCAAGTGGGATTTATTACAGGAATGAAAGGATGGTTCAACATACACAAATCAATAAATGTGATCCATCACATCAACACAATGAAGGACAAAAACCACATGGTCATTTCAATAGACAGAGAAAAAGCATTTGATAAAATTCAACATCTCTTCATGATAAAAACTTACAACAAATTAGGTATAGAAGTACCATACCTTCACACAATGAAGGCCGTATATGACAAACCCTCAGCTCACATCACACTGAATGGGAAAAGCTACTCATAACTCCTATACCCATGTGACTATCATTAGTACATTTAAATGTTTATGTTTGTAAAACTATGTATGTTATTATTGTCTATTTTGTTGTGTAATGTGGTCTATGAAGTGTTCTGTTGTATTTTTATGCTTCTCAAAATCTAAATAAATGTCTTTTAAAGAATCTTTAAAATTTGTTTTCAGAATAATATTTTTGGGATTTTGATCTTCCAGGATTTCCACATTCAGAATTATGGCATTTGGGATTGTGTCTTTTGGAATTATGGCTCAAATCCTACTTTCAGACCCTCAGCTCATTTTGCCAAGCCAGCATGAGAAGAAAGGTACAGGGAAGAAGGTGGCTGACATGACATTGAGGCCCAGCCAGGAGGCGGATGCAGCTGCAGCTTGCTGGCTAAAGCCCTGTGGAAGATGACATGGATAATGCTTTCATGAGGGCACATGAGGACTGCAATGAGTCCGAGTTCACATCACAAGGAAGAACTACCTACCCTCTTCCCCTCCATGAAGTGGGCCTGACCAAAACTAGCTACAGGTGGCCAGGCAGAGATGATAACCCTGTTCACGGAGCCATTGGAAGAAATCCAATTAATGCAGATCGAATCTGGCATTATGGCTGGCTGAGGGATGATAGCAGGCACATGAACCCAGAGCCCATGTTTGTGACTGGGAAAGGGAGTGAGACTAAAACTGTACAAAAGGGAAACAAGGAGCTACTCCCAGAAACTCAGACACACACTCAGGAGTCTGCTTTATTCAGGCTCTGATGTGCATAGAAAAGCGTCTGCGAGCCCTCACAGGGGACAGAAGCCAGCACTCCTCCGTGTCCCAGCCCGCACAGCCAGACAAGGCTCCAGTGGCTGTCTAAATCCCACAGTGGCATTTGGACTGTTCACCCTTATGACCTAATCACCTTCCAAGGGCCCCATCTCCTAATATCATCACATTGGTGATCAGGTTTCAGCATACGAATTTTGGGGAGACACAAATATTCAGACCATAGCAAAGACACATATACCCCACTGTATTTAATCTCAGAAAATTTCTTTAGTCATGGAATCTCATTTTTTTATACAATTTCCATAAAAATGGATAAGCATTTTTCCAGCCTACCTTGGACCAGAAGCAACAAATTCAGGGAGATATGATTCAGCACTTGATAATCTGAAAACCTCAAGTTCCAACAGTTGACATAGTGACAAAATGGGAGAAGACAGAGAGATGTTAAAAACTACACTGAGGCTGGGCACAGTGCCTCACACCTATAATCTTTGTACTTTGGGAAGCCGTGTGGGAGGATCACTTGAGGCTGGGAGTTTCAGACCAGTCTAAACAAGAGCAAAACCCCATCTCTACAAAAAATTAGAAAAAAATTAGCCAGGTGTGGTGGCATGTGCCTGTAGCTACTCGGGAGGCTGAGGCACAAAGATTGCTTGAGCTCAGGAGTTTCAGGTTGCTGTGAGCTGTGATGATGCCTTTGCACTTCAGCCCAGGCAACAGAGCAAGACCTTGTCTCAAAAAAAAAAAAGGTACACTGACGAACTAAGAGGGTATGTCAGGCTAAAGCTGTTACATGTAAGAGATAACTACTTTCTCGGGGCACAGAAGGCCTCACTGCATTACGACAGATTATAGACATTGATGTTCACGACAACGCTCAGTGGACAAGAAAAGATGACCTGGCTGAGGCACGGAGGCAGGTATATAAGCCAATGTTCGTGACTGGACAAAGGGCTGGAACTTCCAGGCTGGCTTAGACTCCTTCCAGACTCTGTTCTGCAGAGAAAAGCATCTCTGTGTTCCTGGGGGACAAAAGCAGGAAACAGCATTTCTTAAGCAGGGCCTTTTTGAGTTGCAGGAATAGTGGCCAGCGGATTCTCACTGCTCACTGTTACTCAGTTTTATTTACAAAAGGACCAACTTTTCACCACCAGAGGATATACTGGAAATACTAAAAACAGTCAAGAGATAAGGAGAGTTTCAGCCAAACATTTTTTGGAAGAAAGAAAACTTTCTAAATTGGGGAACTTTTATTATAAAATGGAATATGGTTAAAAGCTTCCCCTATATAACCTCCTCCCATTGCCCATCAAAACACCCATGAAGACACACAAACATTTGAAAATCCACCTTGCCACCAAAAGCAAACAAGGATGGAAACCTGATGGCAGGATCCAGGGGCCTCTTCACGCATGCAGAAGTAACTAGAGTTGTATTAAGGAATACCTGGATACTCAAGCTTTGTCTCAGGAAGACAGACTCCCTGATGAAAGGCAGCTAGAAATTTTGTCCCTCTCTCTGTTTGTCTGAGTCATACACCAAGGATGTGTAGCAACCAGTACTTCATGAGTAATTATGCAGCATGTCTTTTACCCCACTGGCACTGATATGCGTGGATCGGCATGCTGCGATTCCTTCTACGGACTGCCACACTCCAAGCCCTCTCAGTGTCTGCGCTTAGTCAGTGACGGACTCTGCCAGGCAAGAACTGAATGAGAGGCAGGAAGGAGGCCACACTGCATTCTGAGAGGTGTAACTCATACAACAATACTTGTACCTAGGAGCGGTGACAGGAACGCTGGCAGCTGTATTCACCAGTAACTGCAGTTTGTATAAACAATACTCCATTAGGCTGAAGTAACAGAGAATGGGACAATGGGGAAAGAATAAGCTACTACTTCTTACTGGTTATACAATCAAAACAAATAGCTCAAAATGAAGCCATAATATATAAGAACACTTCTGCAGCAAATAACACCGCATCAAAATTTACAAAGTAAAACATGTTAAAAACACAAGGAGACATTAATTGTGAAAGTATTTAGTATATTTCTATTGGTCAAATAAAATAATTAATAAAATATTTAACAGAAACTTGTAAACTTTGTACTCTACCAAAATAAAACATTGTATATCTAAGTTCTAGGGTACATAGAAGCATTTACTAAAATTGTTTATTAGGTCAAATATATATATATATATGTATTTTTTTTGAGACAGAGTCTCACTCTGTTGCCCAAGCTAGAGTGCCATGGTGTCAGCCTAGCTCACAGCAACTTCAGACTCCTGGGCTCAAGCAATCCTCCTGCCTCAGCCTCCCGAGTAGCTGGGACTACAGGCATGCACCACCATGCCTGGCTAATTTTTCCTATATATATTTTTAGTTGACTAATTAATTTCTTTCTATTTATAGTACAGACAGGGTCTCACTCTTGCTCAGGCTGGTTTCAAACTCCTGACCCTGAGCAATCCACCCACCTTAGCCTCCCAGAGTGCTAGAATTACAGGCGTGAGCCACCATGCCTGTAATGACACCCCATGTCATTGTGGACACCCCATGTCATGGTGTCAATGACACCATGCCACCATTACAAGCCCATGTCAAATATATTTTTAAATAAATATCCCCAAATGGATATTATAAAAGGCATATTTCTGACCACAAGAGAAGCTTTTTAAACCACTTTTTAAAATGTTCTAAATAAATTCTGGATCAAGAAAATCACATTTTCAAATACAAACGTTAAAAATTATGGAAGTCAGGAGGGTGGTTTGCACATGCTACAGCCTTCTCTTCTTACCCTAAATCCCTGAAATGACCAAAAATTTTTTTAAACATTTTTAAAATTAATTAATTTAAATATACATTTAAATTATATATAAATAAAATCTCCATCATATACTAAAAAGCAAGAGAATCTTAGGGAACTGAAATCAGGAAAAGTCTCTGAGATTCAGAAAGGGATTGGACTATGATGGACAGAATATCAGCCTGCCAAAGATGTCTACTTTCTAATCCCTAGACCTTGTGAACATGCTGTGTTGCATGGAAAGGGGGAGCTAATGTTGCAGATGAAATTGGGGTTGTTAGCCAGGTGATCTTAAAATGGGAAGATTATTCTGGATTATTTGGGTGTGCCCACTGTAATCACAAGCATCCTTACAAGGGGAAGAGGAAGGCAAAAAAGAATGTCAGAGTAATATAATAAGAGAAGGACTTGACCCACAATTGCTGGCTTTGAAGATCAAGCAAGGGGCCATGAGCCAAGGAATGTGGGCAGCTTCTAGAAGCTCAAAAAAGCAAGTAAATGGATTTTCCCCTAGAGACTACAGAAAGAATGCAGCCTTGACACCCCCTGCCTTACCTAACAAGAGCTGTCAGTCTTCTACCCTATGGAACTGTAAGATAATAAATGTATATTATTTTAAGCCACAAACTGTGTGATAATTTGTTATAGCAGTACTAAAACATTAGTACATACTGGTTTGATCCACCATCCTAACAAACAGGCTGCAAAAACAGATCAACAAACACTTTCACAAGGAGCTGTGAGCACAATTTGGGCTGCAGAGTCAAGAAGTGTGACACTGCAGAAAGCAGACACTGTGATAGAAAGGCACCAAACTCAAGATATGACAGAAGTTAACACCCAACAAAACAGAAATAAAAGAGCAGAACAGGCACTTCTAACAAATAGATAATCTGCAAAAAGAGGCAAGATTCTAAAAAAAGAATGGAGTAGAAATCATGAAAATTAAAAACTTAATTATTGAAATGGAAAGCTCATTGGATGAGTTGAATTGCAAAATGACACCATTGATTAGAAAACTAGTGAAGATCAGGAAGAGGAATTTTCCCAAAACTCAGCACAGGAGGCCAAAGAGATGGAATATACAAAAGAAATGCTAAGAGACATGGAAGACAGATCCATATCTGAATTCCCGGAGGATAGAGTCTCTCCTCTGAAAAGAAATTGACTCCAAAAAAAAAAAAAGATGCAAGAAGGAATACTTAGCAAAATAGTAAAATTTACTGTTAAGTACCAATAAGTATTGATGACAACAATTTTAATAAAAATCTGGAGCTTAAACTGCTCATGATAATTAGGGAATTGGCAGATGGTGGGAAGAGAAGGAGAGAATACTCCAAAAGCATGCTAAGATCCTTGTTTGACTGAGAGGAAGCTGTAGATACCAATTAACTCAAGAGGTTAGAAAACATAAGTTTGAGTATGCATGTTATAAAATTAAGAGTAATTATTAGAAAAAACAAATAAAAGGAATAAATTTCAGTCAATTTTTAGGAAGGGGTAGAAGCTCAGAATGAAGAAACCCCAATTAATCTAGCTGTGTTCTAAAGGAATAATCCATTCAGTAATTAGGGCGTTTTGGGGATTGTAAAAATGGTCTATTAATAGCAAATCTATGACTATAATTCACATGAGTAGGTCAAAGGAGAAAAACAGATGAGCATCTCCATAAATGTTAAAAATCTACTTGACAAAATTTAGCACTCGTCTTTGATTAAAAATATAAATTTTGGCCGGGCGTGGTGGCTCACGCCTGTAATCCTAGCTCTCTGGGAGGCCGAGGCGGGCGGATTGCTGAGGTCAGGAGTTCGAAACCAGCCTGAGCAAGAGCGAGACTCCGTCTCTACTATAAATAGAAAGAAATTAATTGGCCAACTAATATATATATGTATAAAAAAATTAGCCGGGCATGGTGGCGCATGCCTGTAGTCCCAGCTACTCGGGAGGCTGAGGCAGAAGGATTGCTTGAGCCAGGAGTTTGAGGTTGCTGTGAGCTAGGCTGACGCCATGGCACTCACTCTAGCCTAGGCAACAAAGCAAGACTCTGTCTCAAAAATATATATATATATATACATATATATATAAATTTAAATTAGATATTTAAAAGATACTTGATAAGAATATCTCAAATATTTAACTTCAACCAATACGTACCCCAAGGCCTTCCTGTTAAAGTCAGCGTCCAGAGGGTGCACTGTCAACACTGTTCTTTTGAACTGAGAAGTGCAGGTGTATAAAAAAAAAAAAAGAAGAATAATAAAAGAAAAAACACTGTTCTTACTATAAGTTCTAGCCACTGTAATAAGGGGGGAAATGATAGACAGAAATATTGGGATGGAGAAATAAAATTATCATTATTTTTAGATCATAAGATTGTCAATGAGGAAAACACATGAGAAGCAATTGAAACACTGTTATCACCAGTAAAAGAATACAATAAAGTGGCCAGCACAAGATAAATTATTTTTGAAAAATTAAGCTAATTGTCCTAAAATAGCAGGTTGTCAAACAAATTATACTATCTCTATGTAATTAAGTATTACTAAGTGGCCTTTGAAAATAATAAAATAAAAATCTAATTACATGAGAGAAATCTTACTATATGTAGGTGACAAAAAACAGTTTACAAAAAAATGACCTAAGTAAATATGTACACACATGTGAAAAAATTAGTAAGATACTTACCAAGATATTAACAGTGATTATCTGTGCATGATAAGATTATAAAGGAGTGTTGTTTTCCTCTTAGTTTTTACCTATATTTCTCAAATTTTCAACATGAAAAATTAAGTACAACATATTATTTGCTCAGCTAATTTATAAAAAAATTAGCCAATGTATAATGGCTATATAATGGCTGTATAATGTCCAATCTCACAAAAAATAAAAACACATGTTAAAACTAAATAGCACATAACATCTAGATGCTATTTAGTAACAAAGGGGGGAATTCTAAGATGGATCAGTTATTAGGTATTATTAAGAATAAATTTTAATTTTTTATAATGTTATTTGGCTATCTAGGAAAATATACTATTTTAGAGATATAAAATAAATTTAGGAATATGTTTTCAGAATATTTATAATTTTTACTTTCAGATATTTAAGTATAAAAAGATAAAGTGAATCAAATGAGAATTTTTGATCCTTAAAATATTTTTTTAAAAGGTATTATTTTTTTCACATACCAAATTTGGAAAATTCAAAAATATAATACCCAGTGTTGGTAGGTGAGAGCTAAAACAAGAATGTTCATTTACTACGTAGGCGGGAATGAAAAATGAGTACAACCTTTCTAAAGGGCAATTTGGTAGTTCATATAAATTTCTTAAAAATATGCCTCCTCTTATTTTAGCAATTTTACTCATAGGAATTTTCTAAAGAAATAGAGATATACACAAAAATATAATATGACTACCAGGATACTCATAACATGAAAAATTGAAAAAATCAGAATGTCTTATGTAGAAAATTGTTAAATCAGTTATGGTACACGCACAACACGGGATAGCATGCAGCCTCAAACATTGCATGTTGGTAAAAAAACAACTATATACTATTAAGTGAATAAAAGAATACCAAAAGGGCATATGTAGTAGGACTCCAATTTCATAAAATATGATTAAAACCTGACATATACACAAAGCCTAGGGGACAAAAGAATATGAGAAAATATACCAAATGCTGATAGTAGTTATCTCTGAATCTCTTGAATTATAGATGAATTTAATTTTCTGTCTTATACTTTTAAATATTTCTAAAATTTCTAATTTTCAACATCTTTTATGATCTGAAAAAAGTTATCTTAAGACAATTTAAGAGTTGTCTTTAAATACAGCAAATGTAAAAATATTTTATATATAAAGAAATATGCTTATATTATTTAGAATATTAAAATATGAAGACAGAGGCCTTCTACATGATGGTAGGTAACTGACTTTTACAAGTCTGTGTTCAAGGGACTGAAATTCAGCCACCATGTGAAAAGTTGATCAGCTTCCTTCCAACATCCTACCACAAAAGCACAAATATTAATGAACAAGCCAGTACCTTTTACCTTTAAAAGGGAAACAAAGCAGGGGGAAAGGAGGAAGATAAGAGTGAAAGATTAAAGAGTTCACAGTTTTTAAAGGAAGTAAAAAGATAACAGGAAAAAGCTGTCTTTTTTTATGCATCAAATGAAAAGGGCACAAATAAAAGATGAAATAAACTCTATTTCAGAAAAAAACAATGAGGGCCGAGACCTATAAAATTATAACTACAAGAAGGGAGAGAGCTGAAAAAACATTAAGTGAGGTAAGTGGAGGAGATTGCACAATCAAGTCAACAAATTTGCAAGAGAAACATTGTTCATTTGTCAAACTTAAGGTTAGAGACCTGTAGGAAGGCAAGAGCCAGGCACCGGCAGTATTCAACATCACAAAGAGCTGGTTCCTGCCACTTCCTTCATTAATAAATGTTTATTCAGAGTCTACTTTGTGCCAGCGTCCAGGTTCCGCACTAGGTGCTGGGGATATAAATACGAATAGCACTGACATAATTCCTGCTTTCAAAAAGCTTATGAATTAGTGACAGATACAGACCAACAAACTATTACAGTACCAAGTGACAGGGGAGATGAAACACACGTTTGCTATAAAAATGTATAACATAAAGGTGCTGATCAGTGGCATAAATTACTGTTAAATGTTATTAAAAACGAGAAACTAGGAAAAGGTGACAAGAGAAACTGTAGTCGATCAAAGCAAAAGAAATAAATGAGTTTTTTCCTCAACTATCACTTTAAGTGCTAGTTGCTTTCTATCTTTTCAAGATAGCCATAAAGATTCGCTACTTTTCATCTTTCTTGTGCAAGTCAAAGGACATTCACAGCATTTAAAATAACACTTCAAATCATTCTGCAAAAATTTCAAGGAAATGTTACCTATTTCTTATATAATAATTAGCATTTTCTTGCTTATTTGAAACACTCACGCCATGATTTGAAAAGCTACAACAGCATTTTTACTTACCAAGATTTCATTTTCAGAAGAGAAAATAACCTGTAAATGCACGGAAATACGTTTGTAAAGGCTTGGCAAATGCAAGTCCTGAAGTAAAGCTCTGTCTTAGGAACGGTGTGGCGCCATCTGGGGGCCCCCACGGGAATTACTCCTCCCAATAAATTTCACTTTCAAAGGTCGGGAGCAGAGCATATGGGCTGGCAGCTTTTCTCTGCTACAGACTAAACCAGTAATCAAAATTTTAAATTCATATGAGCAAACAGCTTATGAAAACTTCGGTGTGAAAAAGACATTTTTCTAAAGTAATATTTCTCCGCAGGAGTTTGCAGCCTGAATATTAAATTGTCACAAGAGTGGAAAGTTACTAAACTTAGCCTATTTTCTATCATCACCATATTTAACATTTCCAAAATAATTGCTATTACCATTATCAAGCAATTTTTGAGCATTATTTTAGCTAGATGAGATACTTTAAAATAGGTTAGGTCCACAATTTTTTTTTAAATCAACTTTCGAGGAAAGTTTAGAGGTTGATACATATTTAGCCATACCTAAGAGGAACTGCATCTTGTTTCCTTACATTATGATCAATATTTGGTTTTATTAGCTGTGTTCATTTTTAATTCTGGAGTAATAAATAACACTGAGATCCTGCAGGACTAATTTAAAAATCTTCTAAAGACCATTTAGAATTATTTTATTTTATTATTATTTTTTTGAGACAGAATCTCACTCTGCTGTCCTGAATAGAATAAGTTTAGAATAATACCAACAAGGGTTGATACAAAAAGAAAGTGTCTGGTTAACCAAAGACTTCAGGGAGAGAGAATATTCTATTCCCCAGACTTCTCTCTTAATTGAGGTTCTGTGAAGAACTGAACACATGAGTTAAACAATCATTCAATAATCAATCCCATTGCCTGGAATTGTCTTATCTTTACAGAAAACAAGTTAAGACCCTACAATTTGGCCAATGACAAAGTGGCACATCTGGGGAAGAATCACTTCTGCTTTTGGGAGGAAGAGAAAAGCCAGCTTCTTAAGATTCATCCTTACTCATCAAACATGACAGGAAGTCTGCTCAGGCCTGGGTGGCTCTGTGAGGAGTAGGTGGATCTCTGCTCCACCAGCAAAAGGAGACAGACAGCTAGCATGCAACAGGTATCTGTGGCACTGGGACACCAGATTTGTGAAACAGGCAGAGGAGAAAGGGAACAGCTGTGACTTTGATGGAATTTTAAGCAACATTGGACTAAAGGCTTAAGAAAACACACACATCACTGCAGACATGGCCACACTGCACACGTCTCACTGGGGTATTGCTTAATAACACTGGTGTTTGGGAACAAGGAGACTATTCTTGTGAAGGCTGTCGTAACTCTGAGAAGAGTTTTCAAGGGGATGACAAAAACCACAAAAATCAAGTAATAGGGAAGACAACACGGTCATGGAACAAACAAAGAAACAGACAGTACTGGGTCCAACTCCCCACTCAGCCACTGACCAACTGTGCAGCTTGGGGCAAGTTCCTGACAGTCATTGAGACTCCACTTATTCATCCACAAAATGGTAGTACTTACGGTGTTTTAGGGAAGATGTTGAATTTAAAGTAGCTCGAACAGTAATTGACACAGTAGAGAAGTCATAATAGTAAGGAGTTTAGCATTCTATGCAAGTCATATGTTTCCATGTGCTGAAGTGGAAAAGATGTCAGGATATACTGTTGAGAAAAGCAAGGTGCTGAGCAGTATGGAGGATATGACATCATTTGTATAAAATCTGGCCTTCACACATTCCTGTAGGTTATCTTCTTGCCAGGCACTATTATGTTATACAAGCATTAATATATTATATTAAACAAGCATTAATTCACTTAACCCTCATAAAGGTGCTATGAGATAAGTATTGTCACTTAACAGCAGAACAAGAACAGTTAGGAAACGGCGCAAGGTTTGCACTCTAGTCAGTAGTGGGGCCCCAGTGTCTATGTGATTCAGCATTACCCATGCAGCCTTAGAAGACACCCTGTGTTCTCATAAGAGAGACACAGAGAGACGCAGAGCCTTTGCAAACAGAGGCAGAGATTGGGGCGCTGCAGCCACAAGCCAAGGAATGTCTGGAGCCACCAGAGGCTGCAGTGGGCATCACCCTGCCAACACCTCAATTTTGGACTTCTGGCCTCCAGAACTGTGAGGAAATAGATTTCTGCTGTTTTAAGCCACACAATTTGTGGCCATTAGTTATGGCAGCCACAGGAAAACATGCGAGGGTTTACCTATGTATGTGGATATAGGAATAAAAACATTTTTTTCTCAAAGGATATGTAAGAAACTGTTACCTTTGAGCAGGAAAACTGAGAGAGAAAGAGAGAGAAAAGGAGAGAGAAAGATTTTTATTCTCTATATTATGCCTTTTTGTCCTGTCTGAATTTTTTATTCTATACACTTTTACTTTAATTTTTTTAAAAAATAGTGTCACATTGGGATAAGTAAAATAACATAATTTGCCAGCAAATATAGCATCCCTATGCAGAGGCAAAACATTATTTTGATAATTTTCACTTTTTAAAAAACTGCCCTTCATCTTTCTCCAGATGAATAAATAAATATTAGTGTCTACCAACAGCTTTGAAATGAGTTACATGACAATTATAATATCACTATCATAAAATATACAAACCATAGGAAAAAGATTGATAATGTATATATTGAATATTGATATTAAAACTAAGATTTTTCTGCTGAATTTTTAAAAAGACAGGCTACAGGCTGGAAGAAAATACTAATAACACATACAGTCACAACAGGGCTCATATCCAAAATACATAAAGATTCCGTACAAATCAATACAAAAATGACTACCAAACCCAGTGGGGGGAGATGAGCAAAGGATATAAACAGCCGGATAACAGAAAAGGAAATAGAAATAGCTCAAACATATGAAAAGGCATGCATCCTCATTAGGACATAGGAAAAGACACTCAGATAACCAGGAGACACCACTGTACACCCCTGAGGGGCCAGGCATAAGTATTATTTTGAAAGCCCGTGAGGTGACTGCATTCCAGCCCCTCGAGGATCAGGGCACTGAGACCTACACGTCAGCCTAAGCACAGCGCCCTCTGGTGGTCACTATTTTCCCCAGGGCACCTCTCACACCTCAGGGGCCTGCAGGGGTGCAGGTGTTCTTCATTCTCACTGCTACTTCCAGATCATTGCTCCTCCCTCCACCCCCGGAAACCCACTCCTTCTGATTGCAATCATCTACTGAGCTCCATAATTTCATCAGGTATTCTAGCACCACTCTTAAGTCCGATAACATCCCTTTCATAATTCTAGTGATTTCTATAGCTATGTAGAGATTTTTCTATTCCTCTGGCCTCTCAATTCTTTGAATATTCTCTCATCTAACCCTCTTGTCCTGCATCCTACCTCAGTCGCACATTCTCTTATTATATCCTAGATGTTGTTATTATCACTGCCTGCACCGCTTCAATAATTTCTATTGCCAGCATTCCACTTTCCAGCTCCCACATCCAACTCTTTCCCTCTGATGTAAACAATTCCCCAACCCTACTGCATCAGACTGCAAGATCATGATCTTTCTTTTTAATCATTCTCTGCATTCACCCTCAGCTACCTCACTCCTCCCTACTTAACCCAGGTTGAATCCAAGTCTCCCCTGGACTATGCTGAATTTAAGTGGCCGAACAGACCTGGAGAAATACACGCCCAGGCTGATTGTCTCACTTGGAGTTTATCCCTGGTTCCCAAACTCAAGAGAGAGAAGAGGGAGCAGCAATTCTACTGCCCTCCCTACCACCCCTCCCCAGCCCCTTCACTCTCCTACTCTTTTATCTCCCACCTCGTACGCTCCCCAATCTCCTTCCTTTTTCATTTTTGGCTGATGATGCTTCATTTTCACAAGGAAAAAAAAATGCTACCAGAGAGCATTTCCACAAACTTCCCCAAAACTACCAGCCTGCCTGCACTTTCCCTGCCCTTCTGAATAAACTCTGTATGTCAGAGCCAGTCCTTCCCCATTAAGCACTGGTTCGCTGTCCTGCTCATCTACTCAAGGAAATCACTCTTGCAATTATCCTCTCTCTACTGTATCAACATTTTTCTGCTCTCATGTATTATTCCAATAATCATATAATGCCACAATATCTTCCATCTTTATAGAAATCCCTCCCTCCCACAACCTGTTCTTCCTTGTTCCTTTATACACCAGAACTCCTTGAAAAAGTTGTTTCATTCACTGTCTCTAATTATCCTCCTCCCATTCTCTCAAATCTACTCCAGACAGGATTCCGTCCCCACCACTCTTTTCAAGGTCACCAAAGATCACCACATTGCCAAATCCAATGGTCAATTCTCAATTTTCATCTTATGTAAACTATAAGCAGCATTGAACAGAGTTGAAAGATCTTGAAAAGTTTTCTTGCTTGGCTTCTTGGACCCCATATTTCCCCTGCCCCAACCCTCCCAGACTCCACTACCTCTCTGGCCTCACCTTCTTCCACTCGCTGCTCCAGCCCCATTAACTTTACCTTTCTGTGAGTTCACCCACCATATAATGCTGCCATTTCCCCCGTCTTTACAAAAGGACCCCCTCCCTTTGAATCCACAACTGCTCTTGCAGTCCCTCTGCCTGAGATTGTCCTCAGATATCACCATGGTTCCCTCCCTTACTTCCTTAAAGTCTACACTGAAATGTCACTTTATCAGCAAGGTGCTCCCAGCCCATAGTTACTCACAATGATCATTCCCTGGACCTGTAGATTCCACAGCCTGCTTTATTCCACCACTTGATGTATGACCTAGTTAGGGTCTATCTCCCTTTCTGTAGAATATAAGTTCTTGAAGGCAGGATTTTGTGTTGTTCCTTATTGTATTCCTGGCACCTAAAGCAGTACTTGGTCCACACTTTCTGAAAAGTTGTGTCGAATAAATGGTTGAACCACACTGAAAGGCAATGTGGCAATGTCTAGTAAAAGTGACCCAGATATTCCATTTCTAGCCTAGGATTCAAGAAAATATATACAAATGTGGCCATTGCAGCACCGAGTGAAATATGAAACCAGAAGGCGTC